GACAGCCATCCCCGCTGCTACCATACCAAAGTGAATTCTCTGCTGGTGGCCAATTGCCAAGCTCAAAGACACAAGGAAGTCCCTGAAACGGACAGCTCCCTTCAGGTCCTCTTGCTGAACTTCAACTTCTTATCCAACATCTCGGATTCCTCCTTCTCCCAAATGCTGTCCCTGAAGATGCTGTCTCTTGGGAAGCAACTGGGAGGATCCCTCTATGTCGGAGAAAGGGCGTTTCAGAATGTGCCCAGTGTCAGGATCCTGGATCTTGGCGGCAACAAGAACTTGACCTTGCACCCAGCTGCTTTCCACAGCCTCACCCAGCTTGAGGTGTTGCTCTTGGATTTCAATGGTTTTGACGAAGAAGTACTGGAAAGAGGTTATTTCCAGGATTTGGTATCGCTGAAGAGGCTGGATCTTTCAGGAAACCGCATCCGTAGGCTGAGGCCTGATCCAACTTTCCAGGGCCTGAGGAAGCTGAGCGTCCTTCAGCTGAAGCTCAACCAAATTGGGGAAATCTGTGGGGAAGACCTACAGCACCTCAGGGGGCACCATTTGGCCTTGCTTGACCTCTCATCCAACCGACTGCTTAATCCCAATGCCTGCACCAACCCTTTCTTCAGCATCGTGCTGGGAACTCTGGACGTCTCTTCGAACTCATGGAACGCGATGGAAGCTCAGAAGTTCTTCACACGACTAAATGGCACTCGAATCCATAACCTCAAGATGCAGCACTCAGCCGCCCTCGGCAGCGGGTTTGGTTTCCGTAACCTCAAGGGCATCTCGCCTAGCACCTTTCTTGGCCTCCGTGGCAGCGGAGTTTACTCCTTCGACATGTCCAATGGCTTCCTCAGGGAATTGGGCCCATCTGTCTTCTCGGGGCTCCCAGACCTCAACATCCTGCTGTTGAGATCCAACCAGATTACTGAGATCAAGGATGGGGCCTTCTCTGGGCTGAGCCAATTGCGTATTCTCGACCTGTCCCACAATCTGCTTGGGGAGCTGTACACAGAAGCCCTGCGACCCCTGAGGTCATCCCCACTCCAGCACCTCATCCTGAAGTCAAACCACCTTGGGATTGTTCAACACGATGCCCTGGTGGGGCTGAACTCCTTGCAAACCCTTGACCTCCAGGACAATGCTCTCGTGAGGGTCCCAGCGGGGAAACTCCCATCCCTTCTGCGCCTGACGCTGGGGCAAAACAGGATTGGGGATGCCTGGGGTCTTGAACGTCTTAGCAGCAACCTGACCCACCTTGACTTCTCCTCCAACCGCCTGAGTGACTTAGGGAGTCTCTGGGGTCAACTAGGGAAAAACCCCACCTTGCGTTTCCTGAATCTCTCAGGCAATCAGCTGGCAAAGTGCTTCAGGGCTGAGAGAGGCCCCGGGCAGCTCAGAGAACTAGATATTTCCCATAACGACCTGGGAAACATCTGGAAAACAGAGAGTTGTGTGGACATCTTTCAGCATTTGGAGAACCTTAGAGTCCTGAATCTCAGCTCCAATGGCCTTCGGGCCCTTCCTGAAGGACTTTTCCAGGGTCTGGTGTCTCTCCAGACTCTGAATCTCTCTGACAACCTCCTGCCCATCATTCCTGAGGAGGCATTCCTCAGCTTGAAATCCTTGCGCAGCCTTAGCCTCCATGGGAACCCCATAGTGACCCTTTCCCACTCTACATTTCAACCACTGGTGCAGCTGCAGTCATTGGACCTGAGCGAGTTGTCCTTGCTGTGCGACTGTGGACTTTCTGACTTCCAGAGTCTGATGCAGGAGAAAGACTCAAGGCTGAGTGGAGCTGTGGCCAATCTCCTGTGCATTCAGACCAGCCCTGATTTCCTGCATCTCTCTTTGTCCTGGTTCCTCCAGAGCAAGTGTGCCCAATAATATGTTACGACCCAATATGGGGATTGGGATGGATAACAAAATCTTATCCCACAGGATGCGGGATGCCATCAAGCTGCACAGCAGTGCCAAAATCTGTGTTCCAGTTATATAAAAAAAATGCCTCATTGTCCTTTTCGCATGCCTGGGAAAATCCATTTGGTAGGTCCATAATCTCTGTGTATTCAAGTAGCAAAGGCCAAATTGCTGACGTTTCGTAACTCACACCCCCAAGCTGGCTTTTTGTTTTGTTTTGTTTTTGCTTCTGGCATGTGTAAGCAAAACAATCCAAACACACACACAGAGAGAGGCAAATGTTGTGTGATTGCAGACCCTCCAAATGTCCCGATTTTCCAGGGACAGTCCTGGAAGTGAGTCTACCCTCCTACTCCCTGCTGTCAAAACTGCCCTTTCCAATTCCCTCTCCCTTTGCTTACTAAGTCCTAAACGACTTGGGTCCAAAGTATGTGAGAAACATCCTTTCCTAGAGATGCTACTTATCAGTTCTTGGTAGTTCCTCCACCCTCAGTAGTTTGAGGTGTGTTGTGTGTGATGATTAAAATGCATTTTGTATCTTTAAACATGGTTTTAGTAAGTTGATAACCCTAAGAAGCAGAAGCTTTAGAGCCAACTTGTGGATTTGGCAACCTAGCAAGTTAAGTAACCTACTATTTATTTATTTATTTTACTTTACCTATTAAATTTATATACCGCCCTTCCTCTGAGGATCACAGGGTGGCTTAAGTATAAAAACACAAAAATACATAACATAGTTTGAACAAGGTGTTTTTTTAAAGACGTGTATACATTTAATGAAATAAATAACGTTTGTTAGAGATACTTATGCTGATGATGTATTCATACATAAATGCTTTTAAAACATCTCTCCTTTCATTATCAGTAAAACTGTGTCCTTAATCCAGTTAGATTGATCATTAGCTTTGCTGAGTAATTCAGCCTTGAAAGCAATCCAAGGTGACCTGGCAACCTGAACAGAACAGTTAACACATGTGTGTGTTTGTGTGTGTGTGTGTATTTGCGAGTGATCAGGTTTTGCTTACAGAGGACTAAGAAGCTAAGAAGCAGGGTTGGCCCTAACTTTGAACCTACGCAAATGGAAGTTCCAGCGCATGTGAAAAGGACAAATATTGAGACAATCATGGATTATTTGGGCAAAGGGAAAATGCCTGCTTCCGCAGCCCAGCACTGTTTTCTACATCCTGTGGGGTGGGATTTCCTTTGCCATGTGTCTATGGAGGCAGTTCTGTTTCAGTGCCAACACCAGGAAAGGCAATTTGGGGCAGAGAAGACAGAGTGGGAGAAGCCAACTGGGGAAAAGATTACAATGTGAAGAAAGGATTATAATTCAGAAAAGACTTAAACAGCAGGCCTCACTTTCCCCCTATTTTTGGTTGCTACAAAACCTTTACTCAGGTTCCTTGGTGTGTGTACGCTTGAGTGTGTATGAATTTCATAGCTGTCAACTTTTCCCTATTCTTGTGAGGAATCCTATTCGGAATAAGGGAATTTCCCTTAAAAAAAGGAAAACGTTTACAGCTATGATTAGGGCTTATGTGCTGCTAGAGTCAATTCCAAAGGAGAACACTCACTGTTTAAAATAGTTTCATTCGCTGTCTCTCTCCCTTTTTCATGCCAGAGGTCTCCTCTCCACACAGGATCGAAAACACCATCAATTTTGAGGTACAAACCTATTTTGCTAGGTAATAAATCTTGAAAACTTTCATTTTGGTCTGGATTTTTCCCCTATACATTCCCTTGCAAAGGAAAACCCCCCAGATTGAGGTTTAGTTGTTCATCTTGCTCCTTGCATTCCTTTGCAAAGCAAAGGTACTTGTGTGTCTCAGGCCTGATCAATTTGACACACACAGCACCCTCTCACAAACTCGCTGTCCTGAGAATAATGGACACATGGTCTATGTGGGTCTTCCATAAAGAACTCCTAATATTTCTTCTTGCAGCTACTTTGAATGGAGATTGCCTTGCGATGGCACACTGCTTTGGGCTTGATTGCAGAAGCTTGGTACCCACGGATACGGTCTATAGCCCTATCCGAAAAACCAACTTGCCAGATCTGAGCAGCCAAAGGGAAAACAAACCCACACCTTTTCTATAACACACGGCATTCACACACCATTTGAATGGCAATGCGCATCAAGTGGGGGAGGGGCGGCCCCCTCAATTATTATTATTTTTGGGGAGGGGGGGTCGAAGGGACCTCGGTTACAAGGAGTTGGTGCCCATGAGGCCAGCGAAGGAGATAATACCATGGTTATGCTGCAGCGCCCCCAGGTGGACAAACAGCCACAGCCACCATCACATCATTGTGGATGAGCTGGTTTTGCAGAAAGCTGAGATGCCAGACTCCAAGCAAGACGCCTTAATTAAAAGGGCCACTTACAAACAGAAAGCCGAGGTCATGCACACCTGCCTCGCGTAAAAAAGGTGGGATATAAATAAATAAAAATTCCTGTGGCCTTAACGGAGGACTCTGAAGGCAGCATATTTTTTATTTAATTTTTTCATTTAGGAAACAACAGGCCGAGATTTAAAAGCCCATCTCGACGCGTCCTGGTTGTTTATTTCCGTTTTTGGTCCGCCCACGACCCCAGTTGTTTTTATTCTCCACTGAACTCCTATGATTGGAGCAGGGAGGCGTTTTGCACTCTGCCAGTGAGCGTGCGTTGGGGGTGCAGGGGGGGCCGGCCGCACGGGCGCAACATCTGGGCGGTTAGGGTTAGGCGGGCGCAATCATGGGTTAGGGGCGCAATTCAGGTATAGGGGGTGCAATTACTTGCCTTGCCCGGGTGCTGACACCACGTACCGCCTGCTCGGTTCATGCCCCAGGCACTCTCTTTTCCTTCTCATTAGCGCATTCTTCCACCACCAAGGGAACCCAGGACGGCGAAACCGAAGGATTGGGACACCACCGTCCACCCCACCCCCACCCCACTCCCTCTTCTGTCCTCTCCCTTTTCACCACCGCGATTTCATTTCTTTCCTGCGGGCGCCTGGATGCACGAACAGGGCTGGACGGGACGGGATGAGCAGTGAGGCGGGCCCGCCTCCTCTCGCCTGATAGGCTCCTCGCCCTCCTCCCTCAGGGCGCGATTGGCTGCTCCGGGATAGGGACAGGATGGGCAGAGGGTGGCGCCGCTGATGCCGGGCTGATGCGGGCGGGCAGGTGGCCGGGACAGGTGAGCGCCTCCCGCATCCAGGCGCCTCCAGGTAAGCCTTCCTCCGGTGTGTCCCCTCTCCCATGCCAGAGGATGCCGCCGCTGTTGCTGGCGGGATCGGGAGGGCCGGTGGGTGGGGCAGACATGCGCGGGTCCCTCTCGGGGTGCACCCAAGCCAGGCAGGGGACTGTGGTCCCCGCGGGGGAGGGTGGATTTAGGGACCTTCTCGAAAGGGCCAGCCCAACCTGAGATCGGCATCCTCGCCAGCAACGCTTCCGCTGGGCTGGGAAAGGCCCCCGTCTGGAAGCGCAGCCCCGTCGGTGGATGCGGAGCTTAGGCGCAGCAAGGACCGGCGGAGAATGAGGCAGCTGCCTTTTCTACAGAAAAGACGAATTTTCTACAGAAACATGAGGACTGGGACATTGCTCCTTTATTTTAGCGGAAAGGTGGCGATAGCTCAAATGGGAGGGCGCATGTTTTGCACGGAAAAGGTCCCCGCACCCACCCCGGGCCAGGTTCAATCTCTCTCTCTCTCTCTTTCACACACATTTGAGGGTGGCTGCTGGGCAGGCAAGATGGGGACTGACTGATCCAGTATGGCAGCTTCCTATGAGGGTTGGATCCTGCATCCAGACCTGCAAGGCATCTGACATCTCCCTCTTTTGAAATGTATTGAGGTCAGCAGCAGAACTGTCCTCCTCAGAAGCGCCACAAATTTTGACTGCCAAAGTACAGTGGTACCTCGGGTTAAGTACTTAATTCGTTCCGGAGGTCCGTTCTTAACCTGAAACTGTTCTTAACCTGAAGCACCAATTTAGCTAATGGGGCCTCCCGCTGCTGCCGCGCCGCCGGAGCACAATTTCTGTTCTCATCCCAGTGGCGTAGCGTGGGGGGTGCAGGGGGGGCCGGCCGCACCGGGCGCAACATCTGGGGGTTAGGGTTAGGGTGCGCAAATCCACGGGTAAGGGGGCGCAAATCCACGGGTTAGGGGGCGCAAATTACTTGCCTTGCCCCGGGTGCTGACAACCCACGCTACGCCACTGTCTCATCCTGAAGCAAAGTTCTTAACCCGAGGTACTATTTCTGGGTTAGAGGAGTCTGTAACCTGAAGCACATGTAACCTGAAGTGTATGTAACCTGAGGTACCACTGTACCTTGAATTACCTCATAATGTTGTTGGCCTCAGTCTGTTTCAGGAAACAATGGGCGTGTGTGCCTTTTTTGGGGGTGGGTGAAGTCAAGCTGTTGGAAGATTATGGTGCCTGCTGTGGCCGTTATTTAGGGGTGCAGACACTTTGGGGGTGATGCAAATGGCACAGATTTCAAGCATGCACCTTGTCAGGTTGTTTAATAGTTCTTGAAGATACACACAAAGGCCATGTTTTTCAAAATACATACAAAATCCATGTATTTCAAAGGTTGGCAGTTCTCTCGCTTATGAGGACAAATCTGCCACAGGCTGTTGGATCCGGAAGATTCTTTGTTGGAGGGTTGCTTTCTCTGCTGGAGACAGGGAACTGGGCTGAGAATTTGAGACAGAGACTACAAAGCAGTTAGCATGTTCTTAATGCTAAATTACAAAACTGACATGACTCTAAAGGAGAGGAGGAGAAAGACTGATTCCTTTTGGAAGCAGTAAATCAACAGTTTCACAGGGATGAGGCTTCAGTTGAGAACCAGTGTGTTGTAAGGCATTTAAATACATCTCAACTAAGCCTGGAAATTGTAATTTGTTAAGGGTGCTGGGAATTGTAGCTCTGTGAGGGGCAAACTGCAGTTTCCAGGATCCTTGAGCAGGGATGCTTTAAATGTGTGGTGTGTTGGCAAACCTAGACCATGAAGGCCTAAATTCAAATCCCTACTTGGCCATGAAACTCTCTGGGTGACCTTGGGCTAGTCACACACACAAAAATACCACAGTGGACTCCTAGGAGGAAAGGTGAGGAATAGGATGGGTGTGTGCTGGGGCTCACATTTCCCTTGTTCTAACAATGTCCAGATGTGTCTGGAGGGCTTAGTGGTGAGAGAGCAAGCACTCCCAATATGCTCAGAGGCACTTAATCGTAACTTTGAGAGGTGTGCTTTGGTGCCAGAAATGGGTGGTGAAGCTCAACCTTGGCAAGCGCCAACTCCAATTTTGTGCAGCCGGAGACTTAAGTGAGGAGCTTGACACACTCTTGGGCTCATGACCCCAAGAGGTGGGGTAGGGGGTACACTTTGCACCTACTGTTTGAAATAATTGCACCCAAACATTTATCCTGAGTTGCAGATTTTCTGGGAAAGAGGAGGTGGACTTGCCAAGCACTTATTTTGCATACAAAACATCCTTCCCGGTTATGATGGTTGCCTGGGAAAGAGTCTGGAGAGATGCTGCCAGCCAGTGGAGGCAATACTGAACTCAATGGGACAACGGCCTGACTCTGCCTAGGCAGCATCCTGTATTCCTATGAGAGGTGCTCACGAACCAGTAGCACTTTGTATCAACTGGAGGTCTGTTCCAAAGGGTTCAAAATGCTGCACATACCTTACAACAGCCCTGTGAGGTAGACTAGTGGCAGATGTCTAATGGGACAGACATGACAGTCTGACAAGCATGCCCTTCCTCTGGAATCCCAGCCTCCAGCTGGCCAGCTTTTGTTGACTGTGCCCTCCTGGTGATTAATGTCTAAAAAAAGAAGGGGACCTGGGCAGAATTACTCCATGGCCAGGCAGCCTTGCATGTAAGGCACAGTCAGTTAGAAAGAATGTGGCTTATGTTAACAGGCGATCCAAATCAGCTCGACCATCGAAACACACATGGGGGGATACTCAGAGGCTTGTCTCAAGGGGCTCCATTTGGTCTTCATGGATTCTTTCTCTAGGTCTGTGTGTGGTTGCTGAAGACCGGGGAAACTTGCAAGAGGAGGATTCTGGCCCAGGACCTGCTCAAGAGGACAATGGATCGACTGAAGGTCCCCCGTACCAGAGAGCTGGAATTTGGCGGCGTCCTAGGTGAGGGGAGAAGGCTGAGCTCAGGGTGGGTGGGTGCAGGCAGAAGAATACTGTTATAGATTGGGGGCAGGGGCTAAACCTTAGAAATTAGTAAATGGTAGGATTTTTATTATTTGGGGATGAGATACAGGCTGCGGAGGAATTCCTGAGCTATCCTATGCCAAACGACCTGGCCAAGCTTTGGGCCGTTAAGAAACAATACAGGGTCATTGAGGGCCATTGTCAATGCAAGAGAATTGTCCTTCTCTCCGCCCCCCCCTTGCCCTGAGGTGTGAACAGAGACTGGGAGTTCGGAAGGTTGCAAGGATAACTTGGTGTTGTATGACAAGAAAAGATAATTTTTAGCAAGGTGTGCTGGGATGAAGAAGGGGAGAGAAGAAAGACTGGGATCCATCTTGGGCTGGCTGGCTGAAGGCTGGCTGGGAGAGATGCCTTGGACTCCAGGGCTGCCCTGCTGTGGGGGACAAACCCCTCTTGAGATGACCATCCTTTAAGATCTGGACTCCCTCCATGCTGACTGAAGGTGTAAATAGATGAATAAACCATACAGTATTTCTTAAAGCTACAACAGTCTCCAAAGGGAGCCTGGGTGATGCCTGCAATCCCATGGACTCTGGCTACCGCTCGGCAGAGAGAGGGGGAGGCACTCAACTTTTGTAACTATACCTTTCTCTCATCCCTCCCCAGGAATCCTCTATTAGGGAGGCTTGGGAATGGTGTGAGCAGGGGATGCAGGACTCCTGGGTTCTGTCTCTTCCCCTTTCTGAACCACTCCATCTTTTTTCATCACAGGGGCTGCCCTCCTTATCGTCCTGATGCCCACCACTGTCTTCTACCTCCTGTTGACTTGCAGAACGGAGCAGGCCAGCCTGTTGAACATCCCCTATCCTTTGCCCACCCTCCGCTCCCTGTGGGACCCCCGGGACTTTGCCCTAGTCTTGGCCTGGGTTGGATTGCAAGCTTTCTTATATATGCTCCCGATGGGGAAGGTAAGGAGACCTCCACACTCTCAAGGGTTTTTCCCTGGCTTCTGCCACGGACTCCTTCTTGCCTGCGCTGCAGTAAGGGTTCTGCAGCCTGGCCTCAGTTTTCCTCATCTGAGCAATGGGGAGAAAGGCTAGCTGGTCCTACTAGTAAAATGGCAGAATGGGGAAGTGACATCAGAAAACAGCGGCTGCCCTTGGCGACAGAGGGACCCTTGAGTCGTGGGGAAAGGCCAAAGCAGCCCTCTGTCTTTTTATTTTCCCAAAGCACATTTTGAGCATTCCTCTCCCACCATAGAGGCTTCCTCCTGTCTCCATATAAAGCAGAGTTTCCCAAATGTGGGTCTCCAGCTGTTGTCGGACTACAACTCCCATCATCCCTAGCTGGCAGGACCAGTGGCCAGGGATGCTGGGAATTGTAGTCTGAACCGTTGGGAAACTGTGTACGTGCAGCTACTCACACAGAGTCAGTTAAGGTTTGGTAGGCAGCCAGAAGGCAATCTGAAGGAGTAAGTCTGCCTGGTGATAACAGAGACATGGGGAGAGCTCCCTGATTGGTCAAGCTCTTTGTAGGGAGTGATAATTAATGGTTTACTAACTGGAATGTGTTTGTTCAGTATTCAGAGCTCAGTGTTCAGAGCTCTGTGTGTCAGTGTAGGAGTTGTGAGTTGTGTAAGAGAGAGCTAGCAAAAGATCTGTGTTCTGATCCTGTAAATAGTCCACTGCATATAATAAACACCTAACTACAAGTTCCTGGTTCCTGCTTCGTCTATCCTGTTTGCAGCCAAGTTGCCAATTGCTTCCGTGGATTCTGTATGTACTCTGCTAGGTCTGGCTAAGGTCCTGCAACTAGTCAGAAAGATAGGTAAAGGACCCCTGACCATTGGTCCAGTCGTGGCCGACTCTGGGGTTGCGGCGCTCATCTCGCTTTATTGGCCGAGGGAGCTGGTGTACAGCTTCCGGGTCATGTGGCCAGCATGACTAAGCCGCTTCTGGCTAACCAGAGCAGTGCACGGAAACACCGTTTACCTTCCCGCCGGAGCGGTACCTATTTATCTACTTGCACTTGGACGTGCTTTCGAACTGCTAGGTTGGCAGGAGCAGGGACCGGCAACGAACCGCCAACCTTCTGATCGGCAAGTCCTAGGCTCTGTGGTTTAACCCACAGCGCCACCCGCGTCCCAAGACAGAAAGTTGCGAAATACCAAATAGGTTTTGCCAATATTAACAACAGCTGGAGACCCAAGTTTGGGAAACCCTGATATAAAGAAAGCACCCCACTTTCAGGCAGCCCTGGCAACATAGACCCCACCACAGCTTTCTGCGTCTGTGTGTGTTTTCAACAGCTCACAGAAGGGACCCCCCTGCGAGACAAGACCCGGCTCCAGTACCGGATTAATGGTAAGTGCCACCCACCCTTAGGAAAGGTCCCCCAGAGGTGAGAGAGCTGCCAGGGGTGCTGCTGGTGGCTCTCACAATGGGGAGGGGTGTGGTGCTGAGTGGCTTTTCAGCATATCCCAGTGTTTCAAGACTGAGAACATTTTATTAAACGCCACCTTGTGATTCTCCCCAAGCTTAGCCATATTGGTATCTGCTTAGGAAGGCCGGGGGGGGGGAGGAGGCAGGAGGGATGATAAATTGATGTCTGGTCGTTGTTTGTTTGCCCCACCCTCTTTCTCCCCCTGCCCCACATTTCTCAGGGTGCCATGCCATGGTGGTCACAGCGCTGGTGGTTGGAGCCGGCCTGGCGGCTGGACTGCGCCTCAGCTACATCCACGACCATTTCCTGCAGTTGGCCTTCTCTGCCTCCCTCGTGGCCTTCGGACTCAGCGCCCTCCTGTACCTCAAGGCCTTGCTTGCCCCAGAGGCAGCCCTGGCCCCAGGCGGGAACTCAGGTGAGGTGCGAACCCTGACACTGGGCTCCTTCTGGCCTCCTTTGCCAACTCCACCTCGGCAGGGACTAGCGACTTGATGGGCATGGCCAAAACCCATCAAATGTCCCATGTCTGGTGCAAGCTGGTGGTGGGGTGGTAGGAAGGAAAAGGAAGGGGGGAAAGACTGAAGCCGTTATCTCCTCACGTGAATTGGCTCGCAAAATCGGATAAGGACCGTCTCCCGGGGATGATACGTCATTTAGCAAAAATAACAGAGAGGCCTGCAGTCCTTTTAAGGCTCATTCATTTCTAGAGGCAGGAGTTTTTGCGGAAAAACGTCCACCACATATGTAGTATTATTCTTGCTGGTATTATTATTATACGGCAACGGTATAAAAATCGGTACATGTAAAAAATGATAAAATACCCAGGGGACGCAAATTGTTATTCCCAGTTGGCAATTACCTCTTTGTACATGTAATTTGCATCGTTATGAACACACGGGAAAATGCGAATAGGCCAGAAAGGTCTTTGGGAATGCAAAGGGCTAAGATCACCCAGGGAGCTTCATGGCTGAGTGGGGATTTGAACCCTGGTCTCTCAGGTCCTAGTCTGGCTCTTTTACATTGAGACGTGGTGACTATAAGATCAGCTGCAGAGCATTATGGGAGGCTGTGTGTTCTTCCTCTGGTTTCTGAGCATATACAGTGGTACCTCAGGTTACAGACTCCGCTAACCCAAAAATAGTACCTCAGGTTAAGAACTTTGCTTCAGGATCAGAACAGAAATCACACGGCGGCAGCAGGAGGCCCCATTAGCTAAGTGGTACCTCAGGTTAAGAACAGTTTCAGGTTAAGAATGGACCTCCAGAACGAATTAAGTTCTTAACCCGAGGTACCACTGTATGCTGAAAATTTGGGCACAACGTTCTGCCAACACTTCCCTGCTTCACGGGGGTGCAGCTGCCTAGAGGGGGTGTGCCAGAACCACCTCCCCAAAGTGTTTTTGACGGCAATTTCTCTTGCTTGCCTCTTTCCCCATCCCACAGGAAACCCCATTTACGACTTCTTCATGGGCCACGAATTGAACCCACGGATCAATACCTTTGACCTGAAGTTCTTCTGTGAGCTGCGCCCGGGTCTCCTTGGATGGGTAGGCATCCCTGCGTTGGTAGCAGAAGGCAGGGTTGGGGAGCGACCCCTTTGTGTTGGTGTGGCAACACCAAGGAGCGCCCCTCCCCCCATACTGGAGGGTCCGGATCGCTGAGGATCAGGCAGCTGACACAACTGGGATCCAGTATGATGTTGGGGTTGGAGTGCTGGGTGAGGACTGTGGAGACGCAGGCTCAAATCAACCTGTAGAGCAGGTGTGGGGAACCTTTGACCCTCCAGATGCTGCTGAACTACAACTCCCATCAGCCCCAGCAATGGCCAATGATGACAGGAGTTGTAGTTCAGCAATATCTAGAGGGCTGAAGGTTGCCCACCCCTGCCATGGAGCTGGCAGCAACCTCCCCTAACCGGGTGGCTTTCATATTGTTTTCATGTCTTTTGGGGCCATGCTCTTGCAGGAGCCAAAATGGGGCATCCCAGAAGCCAATCGGAAGCCAGAATTACAGAATTCTGGGGTGTCCTGCTTAAAACAGGACAGTTGAGGGGTACCGTATGCCACAAGCTGTAGCTTTTGCTACTACTAATGGTGATGAGGATAATACTGCTTTTTCCCCCTCGGCCACCCGCTGCTTCCCTGCTCTCTCGTAGGCCCTGATTAACATGGCCATGTTGGTGAAGGAGACGGAGCTGAGAGGAAGCCCTTCCTTGGCGATGATCCTTGTTAATGGCTTCCAGCTTCTCTACGTGGTGGATGCCTTATGGCACGAGGCAAGTCTGGCAGAGGGTGGGATCTCAACCGGCCGGCCTGCCAGCCTGAATTTTGCAGGGAGCCTTAATTCCTCAGTTTCTGCCACGGAGATGCATCACAGGAACTGCCAGGCAGGGCTGAGTTTACAAATGACACTGCACTTCCTTCCATAAGGACTAGAAACTTGCTTTTGTCTTTTAAAAAAGGAACAGAAGCAAAAGCAGGGATTTCCAAACTGCTCCCCTTCCCTAGTGCCTATTTCAGTCAAGCCTCCCAGGGGCTCAATAAACCTTCTTTTGCCTGTTTGGCTGTAAACAAAGAACACAAAAAGAGAAACTGACACAATGTGTGCCTGTTGGGCTGTTTTCGTCTTAGTGGACCTCGATTCTGCTCATGTTTCTCCTTCTGAATTTGGGGTGCGCCCCTGGGGGAGAGGACGGCTTACCTTTCCTCCCTAGTACCTGCTTCCTCAAATCACCTGAACTTGTTTGCTCTGCTGGCCACTTCTCTGAAATGCACCCGCTCCCCAGTGTGTGGCACACAGTGGGTTTGTTTAGTGGGGACTGAGAGCTGGTGGATTTTCCTGGGCCAGATTAAAAAAGGCAAATTTTCTTCCTTCCCAAAGGAGGCTGTTCTCACCACGATGGACATCGTCCATGACGGTTTCGGCTTCATGTTGGCTTTCGGGGACTTGACGTGGGTGCCCTTTTTGTACACCCTCCAGTCATATTTCCTCGTCACCCACCCGCAGAAGCTGAGCCTGCCCATGGCTGGGGGCATCACCCTGCTAAACGGTGAGTTGGGGGGCAAACAGGGCCTCTGAGCATGCACAGAATATATTTTCTTCCCCTCCAAGCTTCAGCAACTTTATTTTCTTTTCGTGTCAGGGGTCTAATAACGTAACCAACTTGCTCTTAACTAAGCTTCCAGAATGGGAAGGGATATAAAGCCTCAATCAATTGATAGTAAATAGAATAGAATAGAATAGAATAGAATAGAATAGAATAGATTCTTTATTGTCATTACACAAGTGCAACATTGCACAAAGTGCAACGAAATTGGATGCCATCCCTTAAAACAACAAAAGCAAAACAACAACAACAACCAAACAAACCACATTCCAGCCACACCCACACCAACACCCATCAAACTCCCAGGTCACACTATCGAGTTACAGCATTCAAAAAGGCCACAGCTCTTGGATAGAAACTGTTTTTCAGTCTATTTGTCTTTGACTTGATGTTTCTATATCTCCTGCCAGAAGGCAGTAGTGCAAACAGACTGTGTCCCGGGTGAGATGAATCCTGCAGGATGTTATTTGCTTTCCTAAGACAACGGGAACCGTACAGTTCTTCCAAAGATGGGAGAGGATGACCAATAATCCTTTGGGCTGTGGTTATGACCTTCTGGAGCACCTTCCTCTCCCTAGCTGTACAACTGGAGAACCAAGCACAAATACAGTATGTAAGAATGCTCTCTATGGAGCCTCGGTAGAAGGACACCAGCAGTCTCTCACTCAGATTGTTCTTCTTTAAAAGTCTGAGGAAATAAATTCTCTGCTGGGCCTTCTTCACCAGAGCAGTGGTATGTGCGCTCCAAGTCATGCCCTGATCGATAGTTACTCCCAAAAACCTGAATTCCGCCACCCTCTCCACCCGTTCCCCGTTGATATACAAGGGCTGAATGTCCGCCTTTTTTTTTCTGTAATCCACCACCAATTCCTTGGTCTTAGCTGTATTAAGAGCCAGATTGTTCTCTCCACACCAAACACAGAGCCGCTCCACCTCGTCCCGATAGGCGGACTCATCCCCTCCTGAAATGAGCCCTACCACCGTAGTGTCATCAGCAAACTTGATGATTTTGTTGCTGGAATAGATGGCTGTACAGTCATACGTATAGAGAGCATAGAGCAGGGGACTCAACACACAACCCTGTGTGTGGGGACTTTGTACATTTAAAAACAAACAGGCAATATTCACAATTTCCACTGTGTCAAAGATAGGCAGCCCCTCTTTACAGAGTGCCCTTACCCAGTGCCTAAGCTGGGGTGTGGATTGTGCCTGCTACCCGGAAACAATTATTTCCTGAGTTTGGGAGGGCCAAGGGAGAGGCTGTGCATAGGGTGCTAAGAGAAAGAAAAGCAAAATCAATGTGGCTTGAAACATATCTATGCAAATGTGCATGTTTTAATTATTTTTCTTCATAGCCCTGCCCTTCAGCCACCCCAGAGCTCAAACTCTCTGTCTGTCCACCCATTCTTTCTCTCTAGCTTGCTTTGCCCATTCATGCCATCTCACTCTCCCCCCGCCCCCTTCTCAACCCTGCAGGCCTGGGCTACTCCATTTTCCGTGGTGCCAACTCCCAGAAGAATGCCTTTCGCCGGAATCCTGCTGACCCCAAAGTTGCTGGTTTGTCCTCCTTTGTAACTTGTGGCCTGTTTGAACCCTGCTGGGAGACACACAAGCTGTGCCCTGCGCCTTCACAACCTTTGGCCTATAATGTTCCTTTTCTTAAAATGCATAGCCGCAGCTCACGCAGGCATGTGCCTCAGAAAAGCGTCTGCATTTAAAATCCAAACCATCGCTTCTGAAGAGGAGTGGGTGCCTGGGCGTCGTCTTTTGCCTGTGGGAGGGAGGTGGAAAATTGGGCATTGCTTTCCTCCCTGTTGTGAAAGCAGAGCATGGCTGGCCTCCTGCTTTTGCAGGACCTGCATGCCTTGTGAACCTCTGTGAACCCCTTTGTTCACAAGAGAAATGTTGTTTCCTTGCAGGACTGCGAACCATCCCCACGGCCACAGGACGGCGCCTGCTGGTGTCCGGCTGGTGGGGGTTTGTGCGGCACCCCAACTACTTAGGAGACCTCATCATGGCTTTTGCGTGGTCCTTGCCCTGCGGTAAGCGGGAGCCTCTCTCCCCCTCCGTCAGTATCCAGACCACACTCTGTAAGGAAGAGAATCTCAGTGCCTGGCCCACTCACCAGGGTCACACAACACCATTGCAGGCAATTACATGACCTTGCACATAGTGTGTGCCAAGTTGCCAAGGGCACAGAAAGGAGGACAGGGAGACAGCATCCCCTCAGATAGACAAAATTGCTGTGCTTCTTTAAAGAAAGAGAGAACCATCCTATACATGTCGACGCAAATTCTGAGGGTGCAGAGTTAAGCAGCACCCGTTTTCCGATGTCCATGACTCTCATGGCCTTTTGAGTAACCGCTGGGAGGCTCTCAAAACCCTCACTTTGGAGAGAAACAAGCAAAACACAAAGAAAATTAAATATACCCCTTATAATTTCATGTTATGCCCTGCAAAATCCCGGAAAGAGCTTTCCCATCACCTTCCAGCCTTTCAAGCCTTAACCCAGGGAGCGGGAGCCTGCAGTTGGGCTCCCACCTCCTCATCCCTGACCATTGACCATGCTGGCTGCTGCCGGGGCTGATGGGAGTTGTAGTCCAGCAGTGCCTGGTGGGGACCCTGCACTGGCCCATGTTCCTCGCAGTAACCCAGCAGGCAAAGAATGGCATTTCATTTGAAACACTATATGTATGTTACACAGGAGTTAAAGGTAAAGCATTAAGATCCACATTACAGCAATACCTCTGTTAGGTAAAGGGACCCCTGACCATTAGGTCGAGTTGTGACTGACTCTGGGGTTGCGGCGCTGGCGTACAGCTTCTGGGTCATGTGGCCAGCATGACTAAGCCGCTTCTGGCGAACCAGAGCAACGCATGGAAACGCCGCTTACCTTCCCGCCGGGGTGGTACCTATTTATCTACTTGTACTTTGACGTGATTTCGAAACTGCTAGGTTGGACCGAGCAAAGGGAGCTCACCCCATTACGGGGATTCGAACCGCCGACCTTCTGATCGGCAAGTCCTAGGCTCTGTGGTTTAACCCACAGCGCCACCTCCGTTAGGCCAGCCTAAATGTTACAAAATAGTTTGGAAGCTTTCAAGGTTTCCCCCCCAAACTGATCAGGCTGGATCTTAAAAGCTGGGTTTGGGGCGAGGAGGAAAGAGAGAGAAAAGGCTGCTGGTGCCGAGAGACCCCTTTTCTTTTCTCTTCGCCACCCCTATATGGGATTCTCTGTGCCTCCTTGCACTGAAATCTGAAGTGGTTCCTGTGTGTCCCAATAGCCCACCCTCCTCAATGGCTTCCCCATTCTGTTTCCTCTCCTCAGGCCTGACCCACATCCTGCCTTACTTCTATGTCCTCTACTTCACCATGCTTCTGATTCACCGGGAAGCCCGGGACGAGCACCAGTGCCTGAGGAAGTATGGCCTCGCCTGGCAGGAGTATTGCCGCCGTGTCCCTTACCGGATCTTCCCCTACCTCTACTGAGCCATTGCTTGACAACTCAGCTCTCGCCCTGCTCACCACAATGGAAACCCACCCTTTCTGCCTGCCTGGAGAAGCCCATGCCCACACAGGCTCAACCAAGGAGAGGAATGGGTGCTGTGGTCCTCACTGTGGAGTCACAACCCCCCTCCCCACCTCTGGGAGCCGTGGGGAGGGGTCCTCAGCCTGCTGCAGCTTTGTTTCCAAGACCCACTCAGACAACATGGCCTGCTTCTTTCAGGAAACAAGAGGCTCTCTTGCATCCTATCTATTGCCCGTCAGGACATTTCGATCTAGAAATCGCCTTCTTTTGTCAAGCCTGAATTTGCAAAAATTTAACCCACAAAGATCATGTGGGCAAACTCTGTGTTGCTGGTTTTTAAAAAATCCTTATTCTGTGCAGACAGCAAGAGCCCAGATTACACAACTGGAATTACTGTGTTGATCTTTACATACAGTGGTACCTCGGGTTAAGAACTTAATTCGTTCTGGAGATCCGTTCGTAACCTGAAACTGTTCTTAACCTGAGGTACCACTTTAGCTAATGGGCCCTGCCGCTGCGTTCTTAACCCGGGGTAACATTTTTTCTGGGTTAGTGGAGTCTGTAACCTGAAGCGTCTGTAACTCGAGGTACCACTGTATTTATTTTGTTTCTACAATGCAGCAGAGCACTGAGCTATACATCAAAGACGTTTGGCAAGCTGCAACCAACTGGAAGTGCTGCTCTGACCCTTTCTCTGGCCTCTGAGATTCCACCGCAATTCGTTTTGCAGCAATAAGAACCAGAAGCATTTTCAGTTAATTAAGGAAACTTTTTTTTTAAAAAACAGAGATCTTTGGCATGCACAATTTCTGTGAGCAGTGCTACTAACCTGTGGAAAAGGCAGATTCCTGTTTACTGCCAAGTTAAGAAAGCTGTACTAACTGAGAAACCTGACATATTAAACAGAACTTAATTTATTTTGGGATGGGGAAAATAGCTAACTCCACTTTTTGACTAGGGATGTCACTAGACATTCAGAAAGCGACAAAAAACCTCTCAATCTGGATTTTGAATGATTTCTAATCAAGCTTGGATTTTGGGGACTAGATTTTAGTAACCACTGATTTTGGTAACCAAGGTTCAGGTTTATTAAAGCAGCTTTTGAAAGTCAAATGTTTCTTGAACAGCAAATTAACACCAGGGAACTTTCTGAGTTTTTGTCAGGTTTAACCATTTTGGCTAGGCTAGAAGAATGTTTGCAGTCAAGTCTGCAGAATTTCAAATTTATGCAGAATCTTAATTTAGGTTTAGTTGGGCACTTCATGTGTGCATGGAACAGCTGAAAGAGAGCAACCTTTTTTTTCTTACACACACACACACACACCCCGCAACCATTTGCTAAAGAGTCAGTGGAAACATAACAGGGCAGTAGAAGGAATTGGAGCACACCAGAGTTGTCTGTAGATGCTGATGGGTTAAGGATTAAACTGGATTTCCCTGGCTGGGTGGGAAATTAGGGGGGTTATTTACTTGCATTTTTGAAAGGGGTGGGAGAAATGAGCAAATGTAACTTATTTTAATAAATAATATATTCAAACCTCTGCGGGGTTTGGAATGTAATTTTGGCAAAGCTGCTGCTCCACACTTCTTTGAGGACATCAACAGTGAATGCAGAGTCCACACAGATATTACCAAGAGGGTATTTTTCTCCATATCATGGTTGCATACAAGAAAGCTGCCAAAATGCTGTAATTTCAGTAATGACAGTGATGGACAGCTAATTTCCCTCAAATCAACAGATCACATGTTCACTCATTATTTTACAACAAGGAACACACCTTTGTGTTTTAATATGCTGACTCCAGATTATTAAACTCTAAACCCATTGGCTGTTAATACTTCCGCTAGGTGTGCCTTAATCCTAAAGCATGTTCTCAGAAGTGAAACCCACTGAGTTCAATATCCATTCACACTTTGTAAGATTCTTCCCAATCAAGGCAGTCTGGAGAGTGGCTACTCAGTGTATTTACTAGAATGTAAGCTCTACTGGATAAAGTGGGACTGTCCTTATCCCAACTAACCACACATAGGATTGGGCCATTGATTAAAAAATGGAACAAAAACAGCAAGAAAGTCCACCAATTTATTACACCATCAGCCCCCTCAAGTGCCTCTTGAAACCCAAGCCTTGCTCCATTTCAAGGTGTTAACGTGAAGTGAGACAGAAAAGGGGCTAATCTTGTCTAATCCAATATGTGATCCAGTTTACAGAGGATTCAATTTCCTGCTCCAAAGCCTAATCTGGTTTCAGCAGGAGGACTCTCCCCCCAAATCCCTCCCAGGCCAGCTGGTGAGCATCTGACAGCTGTCAAAGTTCCTGAATTCAGTCCAGTTCTTCTATCAGGGGCTTCTTAGGAGGAGGCACTTTGGCCCCCCACATCCGCTCCAGTTCCTGGCTGACAGCCCCCACCTCCTTGACCATGTCTAGGTGGGCTTGGTATTCCTGCTGCACCTCCAAGGCCAGGAGGCTCAGAGCCACCTCGTTCTCATTCACCCAGGAGAGCAAGAACTCACACTTCTTCTGGGCCCCAGAGATTCTGGCTCGGTCCTGGGCAGGCAGCCGCCTCTTCCCTTTGCTCAGCAGTCGGGCCATGTGGGCGAGGGCAGCCAGGCTGTACCCCTTTTGCTGGGCCTGGCACTCCCCCATTAAAATCTGGGCCACGGCCACCATCACCTCGGCATTGCCCAGCAGGCATTCCGGGTATTGCCCCATTGCCAGAGCCTGGAGGGCAGCTTGTAGGGCCTCGGCTGTAGAGTGGAAAACCTGCTTGGCCCCCAAAGCCCCAGAAACGTCAAGGACTGTTTCGCAAAACTCAGGGAGCATCTCTGCCTCGTCCGCCTCTCCGTTGTACAGCGCCAAGGCGTAGGCATAGGCATAGAGAACATTGGGCAGCTGGAAGCGGACCAGAGGTGAGGCAGGAGTACGAGTCAGGGAGGCCAGCGGAGGGATGGAGGACGGCAAAGTGGGCACTGCTTGCTGTCGAAGCATCCGGGTGCCGGTGGGAGAAGCCTCTTCTGTGTGGGTGGTAAGTGGTGGCTGTTGCAAAGAAGCCTCTGGGTGCCGGTGGGGCTCCGGCTCCTGAGCATCCCTGGAGTCCCCCTGGAGCTCCTGGATCAGGGCAGTGCCATCGCATCTCCTGCCCCCCAGCCACCAAGGCTCCCAGGCAGGCAGGAGTCCCGAGATCTGTCCGCTGCTCAGCAGCCGCTGGAAGTGCTTCCTCTGGCCGGGGCTCAGCTGCTCCCACAGCGCCTCCTCTTGCTCCACGTCGGGGTTGAGGCCTAGCGAAAGGTCCTCATCCCCAGGCTCGCGTAGCTCCTGCAGCCGCAGGAGGGCCTCTCTCAGGCGGCGCTGGGAAGCTTTGTCCCCCCGAAGGCCCCGGAGGCTTAGCTCCAGCTCGCGGCTCTGGAAGTCCTGGGCGCAGGAGCCGTGGTCCCGGTAGCAGGGCACGGAGCAGAAGCGGAGGTGGCACCGCGGGCAAGTGTAAGGGGCTCGCCCGGCCTGGCAGTGCCCGCAGGGAAGGTCCGGCGCGGGACTCGAACCCGCGGAATCCATGTCGGAGAAGAGGCAGCCGAGGAACGCCGAGCGCGTTCGGGAATTTCCGGCAGCAGCCTGCGTAAAGGGTTTCCGCGTAAATACCTTGCTGCGAATCGGAAGTTTCCGTTCATTCTCGGGCCGGAGAGCGCCGAGCCCCAGAAGGCTGTGCGCGCGTTCCTTGAAAACTGGTTTCCGCGCAGACGCACGCACGTATGTAAATCTAGCCACAACAGTGCATTGTGGGAGAAAAACCGGAGAACAGACCGGGGACTTTAGGGCATCTGAAGACATAAATCTACCGATATTGGATATGGAGGCATTGCTGTTCTACCAGAGCGGTTTATTGCGCCTACTTTGAAGAGGTCACCATATTCTGTATAGCAGAGCCAAAGAGTGCCCAGGAGGTGCTTGAGCATTCTCAACTCATACTTACCTGGCAGGGGAGACACCATGATCATGAAGGTGGTTTTCCCAGGGTGAGGCTCATCCATTGCACTGCGGGTGTGCTGACCCCTGCGATTTCCCCAAATGCGGGAAACTCGACTGCATAATTTGTGGTAGTGGGGGACTGCGTTCGCGCTTTCCCCTGATTTTTCGGTAATAAAAATAGATCTAGTGTATCGTGCCGCTTTTAAGCTTAGACGTACTTTTGAGCGAAGAAGCTGTGTAATAACCATTTATATATTTATAGCGCTCATATCCAGTTTGGTTGGCGCTGTGCTAAGCTGCTTTGAAATGCGAGAAGTTAGCCACGCTGGTTTGAGATATAAGCATACCTGATTTGTTAAGTGGGTCGTATACTGTTCTTAATGGTGGAGGCTGGTTCGTAAGGCGAGTGCCATGTTGCCCCACCAAGCAGAACGTTCAGCATGCTCCATCAACTTAACTGCCTTCTGATTTATAACCAGGGCAAGGAGGGGGTCACTTATCAATTTCCTCCTCCTTAATGGGACTGTTGCTCCTTGCAGTAGATCTCTGCTGCAGGGAGGATGGGGGCAGGGGACACAAAAACTCCACCTGCAGTTTGGCCTCCCTGCCTTCTCCAATATCCAACAGGTATTGTGCAGGTGTGTGCCAAAATCCTGAGCTAGTTACAATATGCAAAGAGCAATTTTCACAGGGTCCAAAAATGTGAGCTGGGAGCAGGGGCTGGACAAGCTCTTGGGGGGCGTGGCAGCTGCTTCGGCTCTTTGAACAATATAGAATAAAAATAATTGTGCACCAGTTAATTTGTTAACAGTTCAGCTTAATGTTGCACTTGAATGTTTATGCCTGCAGACATGAGGCAGGAAGCAGAAGAATGTAACTTCCAGAGGAATGGGGGTAGAGTGTGGTAGTGAAGAATCAACACTGTAGAAATTTACAGAGAGAAATATGCAACACCACTGTGTGGGCAACAGGACGACTGGAGCAATTGGGAGAGGA